GTTTGCGAGGGGTGGCGGTTTGAGAGGCCCGCCTGCGTAGCGCCCCAATCGAAAAGGAAGGTGGGATGAGGGGGGCAGGGAGGGGGGAGATCAGCGCGAAAAGATGGCGCAGCACAGAGGACCAACATTGGGGGGGTGGAAGGGCGAAGAGCAAACAAGAGGAAATACGGATCAGAGAAAAGGGAGAAGAGAGGGCCACACTGTACACCGTAAGGGAAGACGGAACGATGGAAACGGAAAGTTGGAAGAGAGATGATATGCGGAGGAGGAAGACGACAAGGACGAGGACGAGGAAGAGGAGGAGGAGGAGGAGCAGGAGGAGCAAGAGGAGCAGGAGGAGAAGGAGGAGGAGGAGGAGAAGGAGAAGGAGAAGGTGGAGGAGGAGGAGGAGTGCGGAGGATGAACCCAAACCCCAATGGAGGATGGGATGCGAAGTCGTAGGGACAGAACATCAGCGCGAACATGGCGAATAAACAGTGCGCAGCTGGTGACCCCCAAAGGAGTAACGACGGTTGAAGGTCTCACCTTGATGCGCGTGTCGCATCGATCCACTGGCCCTCCCTGGAGCTCACGGAAGTGGCAGCAATTGCGCGGCTGGCTGCTCCGCAAGGAGCCGCGAGGTCTCGTCTGGATGCGCGCGTCGCTTCGCCCCGCTGACCCTCGCGAGAACCAGACAGGAAACGACACTTACGCAGTTGGCACGCCCCCAGGGCACCGCGAGGTCCCGTCTGGATGCGCGTGTCGCTTCGCTCCGCTAACCCTCACGAGAACCAGACAGGAAACGACCATTACGCAATTGCCACGCCCCCCAGGGGCACCGCGAGGTCCCGTCTGCACTCGCGCGTCGCATTGGCACCTCCACACGGCGCCCGCTCCCGAGGCCGGCCGCCGCGCAGCCCGTGCAGTGGACGCCAGAGGCTCGGCGAGGAGGAGCAACGGGAGGCGGCCGCAGGCCGAGGTGCCTCCGCAATGGGGCACGGTGCGGGCAGCGCCAGCACGACTGCGGGGGCCCGACCTGGCCCGAGGCGCCCGGGCCTGTCCCTGCGGCAGCAGCCCGAGCCAGGCGGCGGGTCCAGCCCTGCGCACTTTTTGTTCTTCGACGGCGGAGGCGGAGGCAATCCGCACCAGTGTGGCCATCATCTTCATCGGCGCCATAATCATCGTGGCCACCACCATCACCTTTTTCAGCGCCTCAATCGACACTCATCTTTATCATCATCAGCATCATCATCATCATCATCATCATCATCATCATCATCATCATCATCATCATCATCATCATCATCATCATCATCATAAGCAGCAGCAGCATAATCAGCATCAACATCATCAGCATCATTAGCATCATACTTATCAGCATCATCCTCACCACGATCATCATCATCAGCATCATCATTAGAATCATCCGCATCATCATCCGCATCATCATCCTCATCGTCATCACCATCAACATCAACATCATCATCATCATCATCATCAACATCATCATCATCATCATCAGCAGCAGCATCTTGGTCATGATCATCATAATCATCATCAGCAGCAGCATCATCATCCGCATCATCAGCATCATCGTCAGCATCATCGTCATCATCATCATCATCATCATCATCATCATCATCATCTCCCTCTCCTCCTCTTCCTCCTCCTCATTCTCGTCGCCGTCGTCGTCACCACCACCACCACCACCACCATCGTCATCAGCATCATCACCATGGCCATCACAATCGTCGTCATAAGCGTCATCGGCGTCATAATCATCATCGACGCCATCGTCTTGTTCAGCGCCTTTATCGAGATACATCATCATCAACATAACCATCATCATCACCACCATCATCATCATCATCATCATCATCATCATCATCAACATCATGGTCATTATCATCATCATCGTCAGCATCATCATCATCATCATCATCATCATCAGCATAATCATCATTAGCAGGCTTCGTATCGTCAACATCATCGTCATTACCACGATCAGCATCATCATCATCATCATCATCAGCATTATCATCATCACCAGCATCATCATCGCCATCATGATCACCACCATCATAATCCACATCAACAGCATCATCATAATCCTTTGCATCAGCATCATCATCACTAGCATCATCACCATCAGCATCACAAACATGATTATCATCATAATCATAGTCATCATCATCATCATCGTCATCAGAATCATTATCCGCATCACCGTTATAATCACGAACACCGCCATCACCATCATCAGATCCTCATCTAATCAACCAGATTCATCATCATCATCAGCATCATCATCACCACCATCATCATACTCATAATCATTATCAACATCATGATCATCATCATCATCATCGTCGTCATCATCGCCATCATCATCACCCACATAATCATCGTCCCCATCATACTGATCATCATCATCATCATCCTCATTGACATCACCATTATCATCATCGTCATCACCGTCATCACCATCATCATCATCAGCATCATCATCACCACTATCATCATCATCATCATCATCATCATCATCATCATCATCATCATCATCACCATCATGCTGATGATTATCATCATCATCCTTATCACCACTACCATCATCACGAACATCATCGTCATGATCAGCATCAGCATTAGCATCGTCATCATCATCATCGCCATCATCATCATCACCACAACTAACATCATCATGATCAACCTCAACATTCATAATCATCATCGCCGTCACCACCATCATCACCTTCATCATCATCGTCATTATCAGCACCATCCTCATCGCTTCCATCATCATCATCATCCTCATCATCATCGTCATCACCATCATCAGCATCATCAACTACATCACCATCATCATCAATATCATCATCAGCATCATCCTCATCCTCACCCTACTCCTCCTCATCATCAACAACATCATCATCAGCATCAGCACTCTCGGCACCATCACAACCACCATGATCAACAACAACAATCCTCATCAGCATCACCACCACCACCATCATCGTCATCAGCATTATCGGCATCATCACCACCACCAGCATCATCATCGTCACCATCCTCTTTGTATCATCATCCTCATCATCATGACCATCATCATCATCAGCAGCATCAGCATCAGCAGCATCATCATCATCATCGTCATCAACATCAGCAACAGCATCATCGTCCTCCTCCTCCTCCTCATCATCATCACCAACAGCACCATCATCATCAACAGCACCATCATCATCAGCAGCAGCAGCAGCAGCAGCTCCAGCAACATCACATCTCCTCTCCTTGTCAGGGGCTGCCCGGCCAGCTTTTCACGGGGCGGGCAGCTCAATCGTGCCTGGCCTGCCTCGCCCACTCCCCCCTCCGCCTCCCCGCAAGCTGGGTCACCCAGCGGCTCCAGTCGGCTACACGCAAGAAGTACCCTGGGCCATTGGCGAGAGTGACCTTTGGTGCCCAGCTTCATCGGGCCGCGGGCGGGCCAAATCCAAGTGCGCCAGCCAGTGCCGCACCATAGGTAACCCATGGGTGCCCGCAACAAGGGTACACGTTCTTCATTTCTAATCGTGCTCATTTCTGATTGCGCTCGTCTCTAATTGTTCCTGGCCCCCTAGCGACCAGGAAGAGGCCCAGGATGGAAGAATTAGGGATGAAAGGATCTTGGCCCCCCAAAAAATCCAAGAACTCTCGAAGGATTAGACATGAATATCGTGCAACAACCTGCGAAGCGGCACCCTCACGCGCCGCCGATCTGGGGCCCCATCGGCCCCACATTCCCTGGGCCGAGCCGGCACCTCGGGCAAGAGGCGTGCTCGTCGCCGGCGCCGTCGGGCGGTGGGCGCCCGCGGGGGCCGCCGGTCGCCTGGCTCTTCCGCCGCTTCTTCCTGGGCGGGCGCCGGGTGGGGGAGGGCGGGCGGACGCCCGCGGTGTCGCCCAGCGGAGGGGGGCGAGCGGAGAGGAGCGCCGGGTGCGCCGGGCAGGGGGTGCATTGAGAGAAGAGGAAGAAGAGGAAGAAGAAGAAGAAGAAAAACAACAACAACAACAACAACAACAACAACAACAACAACAACAACAACAACAACAACAACAACAATCAGAAGACTAAGAAGAACCAGAGGAGAAAGATGAGAAAGAAGAAGATAATAAAGAGAAGAATAAGAGGAAGAATAATAATAACAATAACAAAAATAAGAAAGAAGAGGATGAAAATGAAAAATAAAAATAAAGAAGAAGAATTAGAAGAGGAGGAAGAGGGGGGGGCCACGAGACTGGGGGGACCTCGCTGTCCCAGCCATGGTGCCCGCACACCCGATGGCACTCCCGCAGTCCTAACCCCCCTCTTCGACGCCCTCGAGAGCAGGAGGGCGTGCAGACTTCCGACGACGCCTCCGCCATCCGAACACTGCCGCGCGGGGGCCTGCGTGCGGGGCGGCACAGGGGGAAGGCGAGGTCGGGCCACCCTTAACCGTGAGGGTGCTGATTTGAGGAGGCAACTACTTTTATTTGTTGACGGCCTCAGTGAAGCACGCTGCGCGGAGCACAAGAGCTGCAGCGGGCGCGGTGGACGTGTCGCCACTCGGCTTGCTGGCTTGCAGCGCGAAAAAATACATACAGATGGTGTTCCACTTGGCTCGCAACATGAACCGATTAGTGGTGGCTGAGGTCGACCATAAAGTAAAGACAACGCACCACTGTGGACGCACCAGCGCGGCAAAGTACACTCACGCTGCAAACGCCATCCCGCAAGCCAGCCTGGATCCATAGCGGAACCGAAGTTTAGAAGGGGGAGAGGAGGAAGGACGGGTGAGAGGAGGACTGGGCTCGGTGGCGGTTTGAGCCACAGGCCAACTGAAACAAGATCCAATTCCAAATAATTAAGGATTCGTCTCCGATTCGACAATCGTTGCCGTGAGGGAATTCTATACACGCGTCGCGCATTTCGCACCCAAGTTGTTCATTGCGTCGGAGCGCCAGGGAAAAAAACGCTCTGACAACTCTACCGCCTGGCGAGGACGTACTGGTCACGCCTCTTTGCCCTGATTGCCGTCCATCTTAGCCTTGCGGGCGCTGTCCAGCAGATCGTCGATGGGGACCTGGGTGTCTATAGCGTCTTCGAGGCAGTTCTTCACCTTCAGCTGCATGGTCTTTCCACGAGTGACGTTGGTGGCCTCGTGCTCCTGGTCCACGAGGGCGAAGACGCCCAGGGCGCGCTCCTTCGTCAGGTGTACGTCGATCGAGACCAAGAAGCTCATCAAGTCCATCCTCTTCACAGTATCGTCACCACCGTTCGCATTGAGCAGCAGTGTCTTTCCTTGCCCTGCGTCAAACCCGTGATCTTGTTCTGGATGAAGACGAGGTTTGTGTGAGCCTGGCGGACCTCGGAGACGCCCCTGGGTGGCCGCGCAGATCATCGCTGTATCACCTGGGGCCCGCCCATTGTGGTGTCGATGCGCTTGTCCATGATGCCCCAGTTCACCTTCTCGAACATGGCGTCCACCTCAGAACGCTTGGCGAGTAGTAGCGGGCGCTTGCCGTACGGCACGGAGGTGTACAGCTGCACCGCCAGGCCAACCGTGCTCGCGTCTGCGGCCAGCCAGGCCCAGCCCTTTCCGTCGTCAACCACCTTCTGCGTCTCGTCCTTCCCAGAGCCGCCCTTGACGACATGCTTGCCCAGCTTCATCTGCTCCTTGAGGCCCGCAATGCCGACGGCGATGTCCCACCTGCCGATTCCCCGAGGGGGCGGCCCTTCCACTGGCCACTGTAGCGGGTGAACGTGCCCTTGTCGTCCCACATCCCGTGGAAGCGCTCGACGATGAGCTCCGCCGTGATCGTACTCTTCGGGGAGTCGCCGCCTGACCCAGAGATCGTCTCCTCGTAGAACGCCTGGATGTTGGCATCGCTAATGTCGTACTCGTCGCCGCCGCGTGCGGCGAGGGCCACCTGCATCCGCAGGGTGGCCACCGAGGCCGCCAGGCGCGCCGAGGGGGCGGGCGCCACGGAGGCGCTCGGCAGGCGCAGAGCCCGAGCGCGATGGCCAGGGAGGCGGGCGGCGCGGTGCCGCGGAGGGGGGCCATGGCGCTGGGCAGCTGGGAGAGCGGCGTCGAGCCTGACAGAGAGACCTTGAGCAAAAATGGCTCCAGATTGATGATGGTGGATGATTGAATGGTGATGGGCGGTGTTTGGTGAGTGGCTCATGATTGTTGATGGTGTTGGTTGGCTGATTCCTGAATCATGATGGACGATGATGATGATGATGATGATGATGATGATGCTGATGCTGATGGTGATGGTGATGGTGATGGTGATGGTGATGGTGATGGTGATGGTGATGGTGATGGTGATGGTGGTGGTGGTCATGCCTGATTATTATGATGATTGGTAGTCGGGTGATGGTATGATGAGATTGCTGAAACATGATTTGTGTTGCTCGGTGAATGCTGATGGGTGGTGGTGATGATGATGACTGGCTGATTGTTGCAGCATTCACCGATTGATGATGGTGATGATGATGGTGCTGATGTTGACGATGCGAATGAGAATGACAACGGTTATGCTATTGATGCTGATGATGATGGTAATGCTGATGTTCAGGATAATGAGGATGGCGCTGATGAGGACATCGATGATTATGCTGCTGCTGATGATGATGATCATGATGATGATAATGATGATGATGATGACGATGACGATAATGCTGATGATGATGATGATGATGATGATGATGATGATGATGATGATGATGATGATGACGATGGCGATGACGATGACGATGATGATGATTACTATTATTACTATCAATATGATGCTTATGATGATGGCGGATACTGATGACGACGGTCACTTTGCGAACCAGGATTTTGAGAATCCCACCTGGAGAGAACGGAGAGCGGAGAATCTCGCGGCCCACGGCTGCCAACTCCTCCAGCGTGCCACATGTCCCGGGCCACACAGGACAGAAGTCCCGCTCACGGGGGCCCCGACGAGAGGCCTCCAAAGGCCTCCAGCACGGTGCACCTGGCGCCCGCGGGGTGCGCCGTGCGGCCCCCTCGGCGTCCTCTTCCGGCCGGCTGCTGCCAGCCAGGCTGCCCCCTCGAGCGGCCGCTCCCGCTCCTGCTGGAGGGCGGAGAACTACGCGCGCATACACCGATTCTGGCCAGGACCATCCTGAGCCCAGGAACTGTGCACACGCCCTCCTACCTTGGCCAGTCAGGTATATATATATATATATATACATATATATATATATATATATATGCACCGATCCTGGGTCAGGGATGGGCCTCGCCAGGATCGGTGCCTGTGCCTAGTTCTCTTCGCCCGACCTGCCTCGCGCGCGTCGTGTGCGGCGCCGTTCGGCAGGCGTGTCTGGCGCAGTGGGCCCGAGGAAGCGCCAAGCCCCGCCGGCGAGCGGCGGCACGCCGCCACTCCGGGCAGCGGGAGCAGCCTGTTCGACCCGGGCCCCCACCCCAGGCATCCCCCCCTGGACCCCCCAGCAGCCAATGCTGTCTCCCTCACAGGCCTCCCTCACCCACCACCTCTCGCTCTCACCTCATCTCTCTCTCTCTCTGTCTCTCTCTCTCTCTCTTTCTCTCTCTCTCTCTCTCTCTCTCTCTTTCTATCCCTTCCTCACTCCCGTCCCTTGGCCCAGGGGCACCCGAGTGGGTCCAGTCCCGTCACGCAGGGTGGTCAGCAGGCATTGGGGTAAAGCTGCTGGGTCCAGGCTCAGCCACCGCCCGGGAGGTATCTCTTAAAGGCCTGGCCCCGTGGCACCATCCCTCTCTCTCGTTCTCTCTCGTTTTTTCTTTCTCTCTCTCTCTCTCTCTTTCTTTCTCTCTCTCTCCCTATCTTTCCTTCAGACACATAGTGTTATGTGCTCTGTGATATATCTACATCTGTATACACACAGTTGAACATAAGCATTAACGCGTATGTGTGTAAACACGTGGTCATACCCCTCCTGCGCATGAGCGCTGTAGGCCGCGGGGGATTGCCCAGGGCCCCGGCACGAAGAAAGCCCTCGGCAACACGGCCCCACGAACGAAGAGAACGGATAATAAAAACGTCCCCGGGCGCAATCCGCCCGTCCGCGGACTCCTGCCGGGGTCCGCCTCGGCTGGTCGTCTCGAGACGCGTCCAGCCACGACAGACGGATCTTCCGGGCAACACTTCAAGGAGCCTCTCAGACGACGACGACGACGACGACGACGACGACGACGACGACGACGACGACGATGACGTCGTGGAGCGAGGGAGCGCGCGCGCGTCCCCGTCCTCTTCTCGGCGCCGCTGCGGCTCCGGCTCCGGGGTCTGGAGCCCTCCTGGGAGGAGGGGCGGCGGGGGGGGGCGGGGAGGGGGCTGCCCGGCGCGGCGCCCGCGCCAAGGCCTGCGCGAGGCTGCGGGAGGGGCGCGCGGGCCGCGCCCAGCCTCCTGTTGCTCGTGCTCGTCCTTCTCCTCGTGCTCCTGATCCTCCCGGTATCCTTCGCCTCGTCCTCCTCCCCGCACTCCTTCTGCTCCTTCTTTCTCGGCGACGGCCTGAAGGATAAGGCGTGCCACCAAATGAAACTTGGGAGACGAGTGGATCTTCGGAGGGCTCGGAAGCTGCAGCAGCCAGCCAGGCTTCGTGGGCGTTCTTGGAAGTTGTTCGAGCCTGGGGTCCTCGGCGTGGGCACTTGGATCCCCAGTGTGATCGGCCTTCCCCTGGCCGAAGTCTGGGCCTCGAGGGCCTCTGCTGCACAGCGTTCCGGATACTGGTCGTCAGGGTGCTGCACGTCCACGGCGCTTGCCATTCGGAGCCAGAACAGCGATGGTCCTGCTGATCGACTGCGCCGTGAACAGCAGCACGCCCTGGCGAGTGTTTGGGATGGTATGTCTCCTTGCGTGCGCCAGGGCGTTGCCAAAACTTCTGGCCAAATTCGCGGCCGCCGTCTTGCACCGTCAAAGGTCCCACTGCTGCAGTCATCACTACTTTGCTCGACCTGGACTGGGCGCCTGATTCGCCTACCAGGTGGGCTACGGCATCTAGGATGTTGCCCGTTAATGCTCCAGATTTCATGTTTCAGCTGAAGGAGAGTGTTCATGAGGCTGCTTCCCAGGATATTTTGGCTGACGCCGCCAAACATTATTCCGGAGCGGGGCTAGACAAAGGGGTTGCTTTCACCGTTCCGCCGCATTCACTCGCAATCGGTCAAGGAGGGACCCATCAAGATGGGGCCTTGTTGTGCTGTATGGCTTACTCTGGACGCTGGCCCGAAGCACGGCTTCGGCAGGCTGGCCACCTCCCCCCTGGCATCCGTGAGCGCTGCGGAGCAGCACAGGAGACGATGATGCATCGAGTTTGGCCTTGCAGCTGCAACGCCACTGTCGACACTATCCAGAGCAGTGCCAGGGCGGAGCCGTTCGCCTTCCTGATTCTGCCAGTGCGCAGCGCCGGCGACGTGGTGGCATGCTCGGGCTGCCCCTCCCCCACGGCGTGGGCCCTCGGGCGGCCGAGAGAGCTCCGCTCGCGGCCAGCTGCGCCGCTGCTCGACCTCTCTGGCGCTGGATGTGGCATCGACCCGCCAGACGATCGGGGCAGGTCGAACTCATTGTAATTTTTTATGTTTGTTCGATCTGCCCCTATCGTGGGGGGCAGATCAGTTCGACCTGCCCCCCCACGATCGGGGCAGGTCGAGCTGATCTGGACGAAAGCCCACTCCACGGCTTCGATACGTGTTGCCTGGGGCCCACCCGGGGCCGAGCTTTTCTTGAATTCGTCCGTTGCAGGTGCGGCCGCCGCCAAAGGGGAGGCAGGCCCCGAGTATGTCCAGCTCGTCCCCGACGATGTTTCGATGACTTCTCGAATGCTGCTCGGACTCCTGGAAATCAATCGGGAGGTCGCCCTCACGTGCCATCGGAATAAGGCCGACCGCGTCGACAGGCAGCCTCCCCGCCCTCGGGCCCTTCCTGCTGACGCGGTCCGTCGGCAGAAGCTGCTTACTGCGGGCCATGCGCCTGTGCTCATCAAAGGCGTGGTTCGTTGTCAAGTGTGCAAGCGCAGGTGTCAGGCGTTCCGTGGCAGGCTGCTGGAGTTCAGCCCAAGGAAATGCTGCGGGACACCTCCACTGAAGGCAGGCCCCGAAGCGGCCCGTCGGCATCGTACGTTCCCTCCGGCCCATTCCTCTCACACCCCCGATGAAACACGAGAGGTGTTGTTTTGCACAGCGTGCGGGCGGTACTGTGTAAACACCACTCAGCTTCTCGCGGAGGTCTGTCCCTCCACCTTGACCCCGCCTCGGCCTCCGACCAAGGCGGGGCTGAGCGAGCTGCCACGCCTCTTTCGCGGGCTGCCACCGAAGCTCGGAATGGCTTTCCCTGAAAGAGCTTGATCTTGCCATCGGGCTCCTGTCCATCAGGGAGGGCCAGCATCATCATCATCATCATCATCATCATCATCATCATCATCATCATCATCATCATCATCATCATCATCATCATCATCATCATCATCATCATCATCATCATCATCATCATCATCATCATCATCCCCTCCTCCATCTCCTGCTCCTCATCATCATCCTGCGCTTCCGCCTCCTCCTCCTCCTCCAACGCCTCCCCCCCTCCTCCTCCTCCTCCTCCTCCTCCTCCTCCTCCTCCTCCTCCTCCTCCTCCTCCTCATCATCATCATCATCATCATCATCATCATCATCATCATCATCATCATCATCATCATCATCATCATTACCATCATCACCATCATGGGCATCCTCATCTGGCTGATAGTCCTCCAACTGCTCCTCATGCTCATCATCCGTCTCCTCCTCATCTTGCTCCTCCTTCTCCTCCTCCTCCGTTACCTCAATCCTCTCTTCCTCCTCATATGCATCCACATGTTCATCCTCCTCCGCCTCCTCCTCCTCCAACTCATCCTCCGCCTCCTCCTCATCCTCCTCCTCAACCGCCGTCTCCTCCTTGTCCTCCTGCTCGTCCTCCTCATCCACCTCCGCCTCCTTCTCCTACTCCTCTTCCTCCTCGTCCTCCTCCTCCTTCTCCTTCTCCTCCTCCTCTTCCTCCTCCCTCCTCCCTCCTCCTCCTTCTCCTCCTCTCTCCTCCCTCTCCTCCTCCCCCTCCTCCTCCCTCCCCCTCCCTCGTCCTCCCTCCTCATCCTCATCTTGTCCGTCCTCCTCCTCCTCCTCCTCCTCCTCCTCCTCCTCCTCCTCTTCCTCCTCCTCCTCTTCCTCCTCCTCCTCCTCTTCCGAATCATCCTCCTCATCCTCATCCTCTTCATCCTCCTTCCTCATGCTCCTTCTCCACATCCTTTCCATCATCGGCAACACCATCACCATCATCACCCGCACCATCAGCATCAGCATCAGCATCCGCATCATCAGCAGCATCAGCATCGCCATCATAACAATCAGCATCACCATCATCATCAGCAGCAGCAGCATAAGCAGCCTCGCCATCACCATCGTCATCATCATCCTCCTCAGCACCATTATCACCAGCATCATCATCATCATCATCATCATCATCATCATCATCAACAACATCATCATCATCATCATCATCATCATCATCATCATCATCATCATCATCATCATCATCATCATCATCGTCATCAGCATCAATATCAGCATCATCATCAGCATCATCAGCATCACCATAATCAGCCGCAGCATCATCTTAAGCATCATCATCATCAGCAGCATCATCATCATCATCATCATCATCAGCCGCATCATCATCATAATCAGCATCATCATCCTCCTCATCATCCTCATCATCATCAGCATAATCAGCATCAGCATCGTCATCATCCTCTCCTCGTCCTCCTTCTCTTCCTCCTCCTCTTATTCTCCCTCCTCCTCCTCCTCCTCTTCCTTCTCCTGCTCCTCATCCTCCTCCTCCTCCTCCTCTTCCTCCTCCTCATCATCATCCTCATCCTCCTCTTGCCGCCCAGGCGCGCGCGGTGCACGTGCCGAGCCACCGCAAGGGGAAGCAAGGCGACGAGGGAGCAAGTATCTCCCCGCGGCCCCAAACGGGCAAGCAGGGGTGACAAACGGGCTGCTATCCACCTGTTATCCTGCTTGTTTGGGGGGAGGGGAGGAGGAAGGAGAAGGAGGGAGGAGGGGAGATCACGGAGGAGGCAGGAAGCAGGAGGGATGGACGAACGAGGGAAGAGGACAGAGAGAGGACGAGGGAGGTGGAGGGAGGAGGAGGGAGGAGGGCGGAGGGAGGAGGAGAGAGGAGAGAGGAGGAGAAGGAGGAGGAGGGAGGAGGGAGGAGAGAGAAGGGAGGAGAGAGGAGGCCTTGAGGTAATGCGGCTCTGGGGCGCGAGGAGCAGGAGGAGGAGGAGGAGGAAGACGAGGAGAAGAAGGGAGGAATAAGCAGGGAGGAGAAGGGATCAGATCCTACTTCTGCCAGGCCGTACATCCCAGAACCATCTCCTGCCCAACGAGCTCGTGTTCCCCCGAATCTTCCTCCTCATCCCGATGATGGGAAATGGGACGATCTGCGGAAACGCCTTTGGATCCAAGTGGACTGTTTGGGGGTTGCTCAAGTAGTGAATGGCGAGGCCGTGCTCAGGGCCCCACACTTGGAGACAGCCTTTCGGCGCATTTGCCGTCGTTTGGAACACCTGTGGTCCTCAGGTTGGAAGCCTCGTAGAGATATTGACCCTTTCGTCATATGGTCGAGACGAGAATTCAATACCACAGCAGATTATCTGGTCAATGTCGCTATGGACTGCCAGCAGAACCTTGCCTTTCAAACCGACGCTGTCCAACGCCAGATGGAAGACCAAGGTAGCATGAAGGTCTGCATCGACGGAGGTCTTCGTGAAGCATGCGGCCTGAATGGACATCGACCGGCAGCTATCGGTATGGCGGTGTACGGGGCGGAGCAGAGCGTTTCCAACATGGCGACGTACAAGATCTTATGTAGCAGCGCGGAGACGGTCGTTGGTATGACATCCGTGTTGCAAACGAAAACGCTGGCTCTAGACTGGGCGCTTGAATGCATTTGCAAATGCGCGCAATGACTGACGCGGCAGCCCAGCCACACTCGGTGCACAGTACACTTTGCATTCGTCACGCTGTATTTTACTAATGGTTGCATTCGCTTAGTTCCTCCTGTCCTCTTGCCTCCTCTCCTTCTTTGTGATGTGTTTTTGCTTGCGCAGTGGAGTTGCAACGGCATCTTCCCTCTGACGGTTGTTGGCCCTCGGGGTCGCTATGAGCCATGTGGTGCTGTAGCACACGTACTAGCTTCCTTGCACGCGCGCGACAGTGCCTGCGGACGGACCAAACAAACAAACAAACAAACAAACAAACGAGGGAGGAGGAGAAAGAGGGAGAGAAGAGGAGGAGGAGGAGGAGGAGGAGGTAGATCGCGTCAGAACGCCATTCGTGGGATGCCATCACCGTGAATCAACGTAACGGTTGCGTCATGACAAACCGAAGTCGTGCCAGAACACATCTGCTGGGACTTTGACCATACGGACCTTTAACTACTGTAAGCTTGGAAGACATGTGCGCGCGCGGCGCGAGGGCGAGAGCAACAGTTTGAAAACCACCATCCCTCAATATTTGAAACTAACGCCAGCGTTTACAGCACATACACGCGGCGCTAGCGATATACAGACATTTGAAAAACCACATGCCATCCATCTGTGAGGCTGCTGCAAACTTGTAAGACGGCTCTGCGCGGTGCCGAGGAGAGAGACACATGTGAAAACCACACGCATTTCATCCATGGAGCTGCTGAAAGCGCGCGGCGCGAAGGCGAGAGCAACACTTTTAAAACCACCTGCCCTCCATCCGCGAAGCTGGTGCAGACGACTGTGCGCAACGCTGGGGCGAGAGCGACAATTTGAAACCAGCCGCCCTGCATCTGCGAAGCTGCTGCAAGCTTTGAAGATGAACGTGCGCGGCGCTAAAAAATACCTTGGTACGGCAAGCTAGTGTCGTGATGACCCTGGCGTTGGTCTCTGACACCGCGGGGATCGTTCGCCTTGAACGATCGGCGGCTTTTTGATCGCCAGCTCACAGGCTCTGGGCCACTGGCGGCGTGCAACCTTGAACGCCCGCGCTGGGGTCACCGCCGAGTCGACACGACACGAACCTGCCGTAGACGACTGGGTCGGGATTGACGGAGGCGGCTGGGTGGGGACCGGGGGGGAACGACCGGGTTCGGACTGGGAATGGCGGCTGCAACCCTCCGGCAGGGCGCCGGCGGCCAGCGGCAGCGGGACCGCCCGTCAGCAGGAGCCCTTTCGCGCCGCCGGCGCACCCTCCCGCGCCACGGGCCACAACTCGTCGGCCAGGCGGTCGGCGGACTGCGGGTCGAGCCGGGACCTCTCGGCGTCGACGTACCAGATCGTGACCGCGTACCTGTCGCGGAGGGTGGCGAGGACCTCGTGCGGGCAGTCCTCGTTCGACCAGAACAGGAGCAGCCGGTTCCACTCGGGCGCGACGTCGTACTTGGCCCCCAGCTCGCTCGGGTGCGGCAGCGGGGCGGCGGCCTCGTGGAACAGCCGCAGCTGGCCGCCGTGCTCTGGGCGCCAGCCCTCGTTGAGGTACAGGATCGCCGTGAGGACTCGGTGGATGTGGCTCCTGTCGTTGTCGATGTGGGGGTGGTACCGCGACCGCGTGGCGCCCGGGTACACTGCCGCCATGCACTCCTCGCGCAGCAGCACGTGCCACAGGCGCCCCGCGGCCGCGCCAGGCCGCGGGCCCCCGCGCGCACGGCCCCTGAGCTCCATGACGAGGCCGTCCACGGCGAGCGCCAGGTCCTCGGCGGCCCCCGCCCGCAGGTGCAGCGAGTGGTCCCCCCGCACGGTCCACTGCCGCGCCTGGCCGCGGCTGTTGCAGACGTCGCCCTCGTCCTGCCCGCTCGCCAGGCCGCCGAGCCTGCTGCCGCGGACCATGCGCCCCTCCGTCCAGGCCGAGCAGACGGCGCGCCGCAGCCCGCGCGCCGCCTCCTCGGGCAAGAAGCCGTCCACGACGGCGAACTTGCGCCTGGAGAGGGACAGCGAGATGAGGTCCAGCGCCGCCGCGTCCTGCCACCACCTCCGAGCTGGGCCGTGCGGCGCCGATCCTGGCAGGGCGCGCAGCCGTGCCAGGGGCTCCAGGTACTCCTTCTCGAACGCCGAGACGAACTGGAGGCTTGGACATGGGCACCGACACAAAAACAGAGGGGTGCGTCCACCGGGGGAGGATGATCCTCAATCTCGGTGTTGGTGGTAATCTTCCGGCCGCCTAGAAAGCCCGAATCTTGCCACCATCACCGAGATCGGGATGATCTTCGCTCGGTGGAGGTACTCCGCCGACATTGGTGTTGATGCCAACCTCTAGGCCTCCGAGACGAAGCTCGGGGACGGAGGCTGGCAGCTGCTGCGGTAGGTCAGCTCGTACAGCAGCATCCTGTGGTGCCTCTCGCAGCCCGTGAAATAGACACCCTCGGGCAGAAGCGCCGAGACCAGAACAAGAAACAACGGCATGAACGTAAACTTTCGGAGCTCCGCGCGGAGTTTTCTTGGATCGGCGCTGGGGCGCGCCGGAATGTAAGATCTCCGCGCGCCCCAGCGCCGATCCAAGAAACATGCGCGCGGAGCTCCGACAGTTGATGTTTCTGCAGCTGTGCATTCTTCGAGAGACGCTGCCCCGCCGGCAGACCTCCGCCTGGGGCACGCCGGGATGCCGCAGAAGCAGCCGCACGAGCGCCTCCCCGTCCCGCACGTCGACGGCCGGGGTGTTGCCACGAGCGGCCCAGGCCCCAACGTGACCCCAGCCCTCCCCAGGGAGTCGCAGAGGACCCCCGAGAGCGGCCTTCGCGGGTCCCCGAGGGCCCCAGGGGGCTCGAAGGAATGGCGGGACGACCTGGCGGCCACCCGGTTCCAGGACCACTCCTGTGGCAACGCCCGAGCTGAGCCTGCAGAGCGGCGAGAAGTCCCGCCGCAGCCGCTCCGCCAGCGCCGCGCACGCCGCGTCCTCTCGGGGCGGACGAAAAGGGGCGTCTTGGACCAGGGGCGGGCGTTACACCTTCAGTAGGGGCTCGACCACAAGAAACCTTCCACAAGAAACCCAACCCTGAGACCCCAGGAGGACCATCGATGTCTGGTGTGGGAACGTCTCGCCTTCCACAGCAAAACCATCGAAACCCAAGAAACCCAGGGCACCCTGGAGGCAAGCAGGGTGGTTCTTGGCATGGGCCTCCACTGCATTCGCCCAGGAGCCCTGTCGACAACCTGACCGATCGGAGCCTCGTGTTGCTCTCTCATAGGCTGCTCGCCCCATCGCCGCCCCCCATCCTCGGGGTCCACCACGACGGCCACTGGCTCTGCCCCGCGCCAGCCCTGCGCGGCGAGCCCGGGCCCCCGCGGCGCGCCCCGCGCGGCGGCGCCGCCCCCAGGGGGCACAGGAAGGGCCCACGCCCGCTGCTCCAGCGCGCGGCCGCGGAGCGCCATGCATGCCTTGCTGCGGCCGTCCCTCGGCTCCTGGTGGCGCGGCCAAGCCGCACAGGGCCGCTGGGGCGCCTGCCTCGGGCCAGCGCGGCTGTGGAGGCCGACTCTTCACAACCTCCTCCTCGCTCCTCCTCTCCGCTCTTCGCTCCTGCTCGCTACTCGCTCCTCCTCGCTCCTCCTCCTCCTCCTCCTCCTCCTCCTCCTCCTCCTCCTCCTCCTCCTCTCCTCCTCCTCCTCCTCCTCCTCTCCTCCTCCTCCTCCTCCTCCTCCTCCTCCTCCTCCTCCTCCTCCTCCTCCTCCTCCTCCTCCTCCTCCTGCTCCTCCGGGCATCTTCTCTCCTGTCGCGTCATCGCCCCTGAGCCGCGCCCCCCCGCCCTCTGCATTCCTACGCGTCACGCATACCCCCGTTCCCCCTCTTCCTCGGTCCTCCTTCCGCCCGCCTCTGCCCGTCCTCGGTCTCATCCTTATTCCCTCCTCCTTCCCCTCTCTTAGCCTCCTCCCTCTTCCCCTCTGCCTCCCCCCGCGAGGCCCCGCTCCGCGCTGGGGGCGCCGCCGGCGCGCGCGGGCACGGCCAGCGCGCGCACGCGATGGGGGGCTCCTTGCTCGCGTCGCGAGCCCGAGAGGAGGCTTTGGCCTGTCGGAGCGCCGGCGCGGCCGATCGGGCCAGGCGGGCGCGTGCGGCCCCGCGCCCGTTCCGCCTGGTTGCCGCGGGGCGGGGGTGGATCCACGGGCACCGCCTTGGAGAATCGGGCTTTGGGGACCTCGGCAGGCAGTGGATGTGGACATCTTCGGGTCCTGGCGGGGTGGGGGAGAGATTAGATTCACATCCACACAGCCTGTCTAGGTCCCCGAAAATCGATCACCCAGGCGGTGGTGGTGGATAGATCCCACCCTCGGAGTTCCCAGCTCCCCCACGCTGAAGCTCTCTCGCGGCGCGCAGTCCGGGAGGAGAGGGCCATGTCCTGCGCTACGCGCAGCTGAACAGGCTTGGGCCCCTCACCAGTCTGACTTTCCGGGCCGCTGGTTGCCTGTGTCGGGTCACGGCACGTGCGAGTGGTGTGCCGAAACGGCGAACATGCCGACTAGGGCCGCACTGCACAGGTGCCGCTCCCTATGGGACCACCACACGTGCGAGGAGTGTGCAAGAATTGGCGGGGCGGCACCATGCCAACATGCCAACAGGGGGCGTGACTGTGTGGCCCTCCCGCTGGGGCCACAGTCCCAGTGAGGGGTGCGCCGAATCCGGCGGGGCGGCGCCCTTCGAGCAGGCCCTGCGAGGCCTCTGGTGGAGCTCCCTGCGAGGCCACGCAGCGCGCGAGGGACTTATCGAAAAAACGGTCGGGGCAGCACCGTGCGAACGTGCCCACGGGGGCCTGCGGTGCAGCTCCCCAGGAGGCCCCGAAGCATGCTTCAGGGGCGGGCTGAAATCGAGCCCGCGGAGAGCAGAGGCCATGAGGGGAGGGAGGAGGAGGTGATGCAGGGAAACGCGGGGCGTTACGGGCTCAAAGCGAGGATCCAACTTCCACGAGAGGTGGGAGTGGTCGAGATGGCCAGATTTTGCCCATCCCGGGAGATCGCCCGAAAGCCGACGTCGGCCCCTGGAGCAATCAGCGAACGACGAGGGAGGGATCGGGAGGTCCAGGGGCCCATGTCTCCAGAGCATCGAGCCGCTGAATGCCCGGGGGGGGATGCCGTCCCCCCGTCCTCCTCCTCCACCTCCTCCTCCTCCTCCTCCTCCTCCTTCTCCTCCTCCGGGGGGGGGATGCCGTCCCCCCAGGCATCGAGCGGCTCGACACCTTGGGGATGCTGCCAGCCTCTGGCCACCCGACGGCCATGGGCTGGCGGCATGCCGCGCCGGCACGCTCGACCGCGGACGCCTTGCTGCCAGTCGGCGTTCGGTGGACTTCGGCGCCCTTCGGCGGTCAAGCTTTGAAGGGGGTCCATCATCGATCACCTCTAGATGACAAGATGAGAAAGAAGGAGGAGGACAAGGAGGAGAAGAAGGAGGAAGAGAGGAGGAGGAGGAGGAGGAGCAGGAGGAGCAGAAGGAGGAGGACGAGGAGGAGGAGGCCCACCGCTCCATGGAGGCGCGCCGATCCTTGCCAGCCTGCGTGCGTCGCCCTTCCCGCGCGCACCTGGAGAGACTTGACCTGTGGCAGAATCGTTGCACGGCTCCGCCCCGGATGGGGGTGGCGCACGACGAGCCGCACGGGCCCCCGCCGAGTCTAACGCCTGCGTCTCAGTGAACACCTAATCCTCCTCCTCCTCCTCCTCCTCCTCCTCCTCCTCCTCCTCCTCCTCCTCCTCCTCCTCCTCCTCCTCCTCCTCCTCCTCCTCCTCCTCCTCCTCCTCCTCCTCCTCCTCCCTCCTCCTCCTCCTCCTCCTCCTCCTCGTCCCTCTCTCCTCCCTCCTCCTCCTCCTCCTCCTCCTCCTCCTCCTCCTCCTCCTCCTCCTCCTCCTCCTCCTCCTCCTCCTCCTCTAAGTGCGGTAGCCGTGGTAACTCGCAATCGAGAGTGCGAGCCGGCAGCCGCGAAGCCAGAGCATCCGCCCACTTCGTTCAGGGGCCTCGCAGCGAAGAGCGCGATGAACCAGCCGCCGAGAAGCCCAGCACTCGAGAATGCAGTGGCCCACTCTGCCCTCCTCGCCAGGGCAGCCAAACACGCACGGGGCACGCCGTTGCACTCTCCGACTTGCTCCCAGTCCAAGCGCGGATCGCCTGGAGAGCCCACGCGGTGGAGACCTCCACGAGGCGCGATCGGATGCCTTCCCACCTGCGCCTCGGGAGGGCCTCCACGCCGAGACGCCTGAGGAGGCGCCAGTCCAGCAGCGTGGGCACGTCATCGGGGACGAGCGCGCTCTCGATGGTGCTCATCAGCAGAGTCTGTATCGACTGTGAGCGTTTGCACCGTCGACCATCCGCTGCCTGTCCCGCTGCAGCTGCGGGGGCTGTGGTCCGCCACGCCTTCCATGCAAGGAGGAGGAGGAGGAGAAGGAGGAGGAGGAGGCGGAGTGAGGGAGAAGGAGGAGGCGGAGGAGAAAGAGGAGGAGGAGGAGGAGGAGGAGAAGTAAAGAGGAGTGAGTAGGAGGAGCGAGGAGGAGTGAGGAGGAGGAGGAGGAGGAGGAGGAGGAGGAGGAGGAGGAGGAGGAGTGAGGAGGAGGAGGAGGAGGAGGAGGAGGAGGAGGAGGAGGAGGAGGAGGAGGAGAGGAACGACGACGAAGACGACGATGACGACGACGACGACCGACGACGACGACGAAGGACGAGGGACTAGGGAGAGAGAAGGGGGACGACGAAGGAAGAGGGATGCGAGGGGAGGCTGGTCGGACTCAGCCTAAGGAGTCTGGTAATCCAACGCGCGCCCCACGCGAACTGGTCACGGGCCTCCTCCCGTTGCAAAAAGGCCCACACACAAACTCCCTCCCTCCACTCAGTGACGTGAGACGACCGACGGAGAGTGGGGGGGGCTAGCGAAAGTGAGTCGCGGAGGGAGGAGGAGGTTTGGAGGGAGGGATGGAGGGAGGGAGGGGGAGGAGGAGGAGGTGGAGGGGAAGGAGGGGGGAAGCGGGAGGCAGCGGAGGAACGTGAGGGGAGTGGATGATCATTCCCGACGTAGGTGCGGCTGCAGGCGCACGGCTTGAACCAATTCGGAGACCAGTCGCTCGGGTCCGTCACCTTCACCTTCGATGTCTCCCGGGGTGGCTCTAAATGTCATTTCCCCAAGGCCGCAAGCATTACAGATGATTCGCCACGGGTGGCCCCCGCTTCGGGTGATGGTGGCACTCCAAGAGCCGCACGGGGACCCTGGTCTCGAGGGCCGGGTATACGGGGGCTCCGGGGAGCTCTACCCGCGAGCCGCCCGCGTCCATAGGGGCACACGAATAGCATGGCACAGGTGTGGTGCTGGAGGCACGCGAGGCAGCGACCGAGCAGCCACCAGCGGCGGAGGCGAAGGTGGAGGCGGCGGAGGTGGCAGCACGGGAGTGTGCGGTGAGTGCTGGGGAGCACGCCCCGCCGGCTGCGCTTGGGCCCTGTGCTCCACGCACACTCTCTCGGTCGACACGGTCGAGGCATTGCTGCACCGAGTCGATATCCGCCTCCCTCCCTCCCTTCCCATCACATCCGGGACTCCCCTTACGCAGAAGGCATCTATACACAACAACCGTGCCTGGCCAGGCTCATCCTGGGCCCTGGCATGGTGCATTCGCCGCCTTGCCGAGGCCATGAGGGTCCATACACCGTCGTGAGTACCAGAATGGTCCTGGCCGGATACGGCGGTGATGTATAGATACCTTCTTCGGATCCCCTCCCCTCCCGCTGCTGCTGTTGCTGCTGCTGCTGCTCCCAAGGTCTTCGGAGGTCTCGAGTGGCTTCCCGATTCGATCCTGCGCCTCCTCTTCCGTCGGCCGCAGGGGCATGGGGGAGGGGGGGAACACCTCCTTCGCCGAGCGTCGCCCCGGCGAGGCAGCTGGGGACTC